GGAAGCTGAGGGAGATGCTGAGTTGAGGGAGCTGAGGTGAGGGAGCTGAGGGAGATGCTGAGGGAGATGCTGAGGTGAGGAAGCTGAGGGGGATGCTGAGCTGAGGAGGGGCTGGGATGGAATTCCCAGAGAAACTCTGGCTTCTGGAGACCTGAAAGTGTCCAAGGCCAGGTTGGAGCAAGCTGGGATAGTGGAAGGTGATAGGAATGATCCTTAAATCTCCTTCCAGCCCAAGCCATTCCATGGTTCTGTGATCTCTCGTCTCTCACAGCTCATGGGGTGTTTGTGCTTCAGCTGCCAAAGTATTTCCCACTTCTGGTGATAAATGCAAAGAACTGGGCTCTGTTTGCTCTCCCTATTGATTTCTAGAGAGGATTTTATCCCTGTCTCTACTCAGTGCAGATGTTTCATCCCTCAAAAAAAGAGGAGAGCATTGATTACGTGTATTTCTATTTCTGTCACTACCTGGATGATATGATGATATATGTAAAGAAAAGAAGCTTTTTTTTTTAGTCACTTTGCTTCACAAAGCAAAATCCAAAAGGTTTCAGAGAAGCCTTTCCAGACTGTCTCTGTCTGGGCTGTGCCTGCACATCTGGAATTCCCAACAGGGAATTTAGGCAACCTCTGGCCCTCAGCAGCACCCAGGGGAGGTAAAATGTTGTTGTCCAGAGAAGTTTTGGATGCCCTTGGATCCCTGGAAGTGTCCAAGGCCAGGCTGGAGCATCCTGGGATAGTGGAAGATGTCCCTGAAAATCTCTTCCAAAGGTCTGGGAGTTAAATCCATGTTCCCTACAATACCTGATGCTGCCTGGAATGTTCTGTGCTGCTGCTCTGAGCTCCAAATGTGCCCAGCTGGGGTTGAGTTTGTTTCATTTTCAATTTCCTTCTGCTTGGGATGTGAGAACTGAGGGATAAAGGGACTGGAAATGAGGAATTGTTGTTTGGGAGGAGAGGATCAGGAGCAGAAGTGAGGCTGAGGAAGGATTTCTGTATCTGAAATGTGGTTTCAGTTCTGTTCCACATCCTGATCAGCAGCTCTTGTGTTGATGCCTTCAGTGCTTGAAGGTCTAAAAATAAGTGGATTAGGGAAGTAGAAAAAGGAAATAATTTTATGGAAAAGCACATTAAATAGCAAACAATTTTCTTCTTCCTCTTTTTTTTTTCCCCCCTTACCTTTATTCTTTCTATAACTCTGAATATACCACTTAAGAAAGTTGAATTCAAAGCTGTTATGGCCAGCATCAGTTATTCAAAGAGGAATGTCACAGTTTTGAGATGGTTTGGTAAAATTTTGGGGCTGTTCCTATGTGTTCAGACCTTTTGAGGTATGTGAGGAGTTCCTCACCTGAGAGATCTTTTTCTTTTTTTTTTTTTTTTTCTCAGGTAGTGGCTCCAATCCTTTCCAGCACCTGGAGAAGAGTGCTGTGCTTCAGGAGGTAGGAATAATCACAGGATAATGCTGTTTAATTAATTATATTTTCCTTCAGGAAGTGTTGCCAGAACCATTGTGGGGCAATGTAGATGGCTAAATTCACAGAAGTAATTTAAAATCACAGAGAGTGTAAATAAATTCATTTTATCTACAGTTAATGAGGGTTTTTTGAAGGGTAATTAGATGACAAGTGGCTCCTGCCTTCCATATGGACATGTGGCATCTCAGGGGGCTCTTCCTGAAGAAAAAAAAATGTTTTATTTTGAGGCATTTCTGCCAGTTCCAGATGGCAAATCGAGCTGTTTGTCCTTTTTTTTTTTTTCCAATTGCTGCGAACTAAAGATGCAAGAACACATTTTGTGAGACACATATTTAATACAAATAAAAATTACAAGCTGCTTGGCTGGAAACAGATTCATTTAATTTTGTTGCTGAAAGGGAATTTATTCTTGTTGGGATCTATTCAGGCAGAATTTCTCTTTGATTTCCAGGCAAGGCTCTTCAATGAGACCCCAATAAACCCACGGAGATGCCTTCACATCCTTACCAAGATCCTGTACCTGCTGAACCAGGTAACTTTGAGGATTTCTCTCCATCCAGAATGAATTTTTTTTTTTTTTTTTTTTTTTTTTTTTTTAGTGGGAAAAACCTCTTTGGGAAACTTCCATCCCTGTGGAGGGCGTTTTAGAATGGGGATAATTGTGAATTCCCTGGGAAGGAAAGGAGGAAAAGATGGTTTCTTACAGGGGAAAAAAAAAAAAAAAACCTCCAAGGAAAGATTGCTGGTGTGTGGGAGGGCATTAAAAAAAGGAGCTGGATAATGCCTGGTTTTCCTCTCTGCTCATTCCAGGGTGAACACTTTGGAACCACAGAAGCCACAGAAGCTTTTTTTGCCATGACCAGGTTGTTTCAGTCTAATGATGTAAGGACCTGGGGTTTTACCTCTCCCTGCTCCTGTCTGGGCTTGCAGGAGCTGCCAAACCCTTGGATTTTGGGATGTGGGAGGCAAAGAGTGCACAGGAGGAGCTCTGGAGGCAATCCCTGCTTTGGAAATAAAAGGCTGAATAATAACATGTGGTTATTCTGTGGGTTGGGTTGGGGGTGGAGATGGGTTCTGAGTTAATTAATGCTGTAAAAATGAGGATAATGAGAAAGCCTGAATTTACAAATCACTTGATGGCTGTTGCTTCCACTTGCAAATCACCATCTGCTTAAATTAAAAATTGCCTGCAGATCAAAGGCTGCTGTTCTTTAGGACATGGATCAGCATTGAGCTCATGGAGGCAAATGCCCTAAAAATCCCAGAATGGTTTGGGAATTGAATTTGGGAATTCAGCTTTGGGCTCAGCAGAATGGAAAATCCTTCTGTGCAGAGTGTGAGGACTCAGAGCCCTGTGTTCCATGTGATGGGGCTCATTAATTTTAATTAAAAAGGGTTTGCTTGTCAGAGATTTGTCCAAGGAAGGCATAGCTGTTCCAAGATCTAATAAAATTGTTGGTAATACAGAGTTGTTGGACTGTTCCTCATATCCATATTTTTTGAAGTAGAGGATTTTTAAAAATATGAAGTTAATTGATTTCAAAGACTTAATGTCAACACTCCACGTGTGTTTCTATTTTTTTTTTAAATAACAAAGTTATTTTCTGAGCTTTTAACTGATAATTGTGAAGTTTCTGAGTGTGATAATTAGCATGGATTTTTGGATTCGTTCTTATCATTTTACAAAATATTGATGTCTTCTGATTTGTTTGATATCAGGGACTGGCTCTTATCAAATGTAGTTTTACACTTATCACTTTGAATTGAAAAGAATTGGCTAAATTGAAAAGAATGTATTTTGTTTAAAAGCTTCTTTTTCTTTCAAAGTGAAAATATTTAATTTGTACGTTTTATTTCTCTTTTAAAACTTCAAATTACCATTGAGTTTCATCTTTCCACAGCAAACCCTCAGAAGAATGTGTTACCTCACAATCAAAGAGATGGCCAATATCTCTGAGGACGTCATCATTGTCACCAGCAGGTGGGAAAAAAAAAAACAAACAACAAAAAAAAAAAAAACCTTCCCTGGCTTTGTTTGAGCTGCTACAGTGTTGAGGTTTTAGAAGTTTCAGCAGTTCTGTGATACACAGTATGTGCCACCCTCTGAAATGTTATTTTCTTGCCACTCTGTGGGTGAATTCAGTTTATCAAATGGTTGTTACTTTGTTTTCTCTGTTATTTTAATTCCTGTTTTGTCAGAATTTAGGCTGTGATTTTGCTGCCAGAGAAATTAAAAGAAAATCAGAGCAAAGCCCAGTTCGTTCTCCCAACTGAACTCTCAATTTTTTTGACTACAAAAACAGACATTGCAGCTGTTGCAAGAGCAAAAATTGGATCTGTTGTTAGAAATATATTAAAAAAAACCAAACTGAACTTTGGTCATTATTTCTAAATTAAAATTCCATATGGCACAAGCAGCACCACCAAGAAGGAGAATGAGCTAAACAAGCCATGACAAAACAATACCAAATGTGCATTTTCTAGCTCTGCATTTCCCCAGATTTTCATGTTGACAACTCTCAAATTAAGCTGATTATTAAGAAGCTGTCCCTAAGCAGAACTGCAGCAGCTAAATGAGGTGAATGTCACATTAAAACCTGAGACCTGGGCATGTTACAGAATTGTTGAGAGGGGTTTTTTTTGTTTGTTTTTTGGTTTTTTTTGGTGCTTTCAGTTTGACCAAAGACATGACAGGCAAGGAGGATGTCTATCGAGGCCCTGCCATCCGAGCTCTGTGCAGGATCACTGATGTGAGTACACACGGGCTCACTCTGGGGGACAGGGCATGAGTGGCTTTAAAACCCCAAATCTGCTCTCCTGCAGCTTGCATTTTACAGCACTAATGGAACTGCTGCTTCATGGAGGGCTGCTGCATGCCCTGTGCAATTCCCAGCAGCACTGGGAATGTGCAGCTGGAATGTTTGGGAGCTCCACTTTCCATTTGGGATTGCTCTGCTCAAAGCTCTGTGTAACTTCCAAGAACTCTGTGGGGCTGGAGCAATGGGAATGTGCAGCTGGAAAGTTTGGGAGCTCCAGTTTCAATCTGGGATTGCTCTGCTCAAAGCTCTGTGGGACTGGAACAATGGGAATGTGCACCTGGAATATTTGGGATCTCCAGTTTCCATGTGGGATTGCTCTGCTTGATGTCCTCTGTGATTTCCAGGAGTTGTGTGGGGCTGGAGCACTGGGAATGTGCAGCTGGAAGATTTAGGATCTCCAGTTTCCATTTGGGATTGCTCTGCT